GAGAACTCTTTTGGATACGTCTACGGATATTCTCAAATCATCCAGGTCATGGTTGTCCCAAAGGTGTTTCTTCTAAAAGGCAACTGGACTTCCTTTGGTTTTTTTTTCCTTGAAAACATTTTGCTTCTCATCCAGGAAGCTTTTTCAGTTCTTTAGTCCCCTAATTCAGAGAAATAAGAAAATAAATTGAAAATGTGTTTAGAGAGAAAAACCTCTTTCGCTTTTGAGAGGTTATCCCAATCTTGTCTTTTTAGTTCAGTGTTTGTTTTTGATATAAGAAACATACAAGTAGGACATCTAAGAAGCAACTTTCTTTGTACTGTAGTTGTTTGATGAGTCAGAGAAACACACACTCCGAATAAAGTTGATCTATCTAAGCACCATAAGCTGAAAGCTCTTGATCAACCTGATCTGTTGACTTTATTTAAATTTTGTAAAAAGCCACCTAAAACACTAGCTGGCACCATGACAAATTCCACAAGATCGTTCCCTTCAGCAAAAAAAAAGGAAAAATGCTCTCTTTTTTCTTTCCTGATAGCCGGCACCTGTACCTTAAATTTTACACTCTCTCTTGACCTCAGAGGGCTGGCAGGCGTGGCGGAGGGAAGTGTGGCCATGGTGGGTGTGACATGGGAATCATGTCAGGGGCACCTATGGTGACCAACTGCTAAGGCAGGACTTCCCCGAGACTTCACTCACTCTCATTATAATCTCCTTCCTTCCTTTCTTCCCTCCCTCCCTCCCTCCCTCCCTCCCTCCTTCCTTCCTTCCTTCCTTCCTTCCTTCCTTCCTTCCTTCCTTCCTTCCTTCCTTCCTTCCTTCCCCCCACCCTCCCTCCTTCCTTCCTTCCCTCCCTCCCTCCATTCAAAGCTACAATGGCACTGAAAAAAATGACTTATGACCATGTTTCACACTTACGACTGTTGCAGCATCCCCACAGTCATGAGAGGCCAGGCGAGGAGATGCGATGTGAGTGATATTGAGTTGGCCACACCCAGCCAATAACATAACCACCAAGCCACGCTCACCACCTAAGCCACGCCCACAGAACCGGTTGTTAAAAATTTGAATCCAACCCCTGTTGGAGACCCCTGCTTTAAAGCTTCTTCGAATGACTAAAAAATAGATGGGTAGTTTGTTCTTGGTGGACCTCCAAATTAACCAGCCTTCTTTGCTTCTTCAAATCAGATCGACAGAGCAACTGTCAATCTCCCAGTGAACCTCAATCAAGGAGAGACTGTCATTTTCCAGCAGGGAGCGTCTATCATTCTGAAAACAAAATTCAACCTGATTGTGAGCTACGACCGGATGCAAAACCTCTTTGTTGTCCTTCCTTCCCGATACATGGGACAAACCTGTGGGCTCTGTGGGAATTTCAACAGGGTGACCCACGATGACGTTGCGATGCCAAATGGCTCTTTGGGAATGGATGTCTTCCATTTTGCTGCCAGCTGGAAGTCGGAGAATCACTGTAAGGATCTCCCTCCTGGTTCTTACCCAGAATGTTTGGAGAAGCAACAGCTCATCCAGGCAAAATACAAATGCTGGATCATTCAAAATCCCCAGGGGCCCTTTGCTTCTTGTCATTCTCAAGTTACTCCTGAGCCCTACATGAATGATTGCATATTGGACCTTTGCATCTCTGCATTAGACCACAGTGTCCTTTGCCACTCCATTCAGAACTACGCAGCAGCCTGCCAACGAGAAAATGTAAACATTTCTGCCTGGAGGAACGAGAGTTTCTGCTGTATGTATCTCATCCCTCTATCCTACGTTCCGTCTTGTTTTTTTACTACTCTATGTGATATAGCAAGGGTCAGCAACACTCAAAAAGCCATTTGAAAACACCGGGAGCCACAAAGGTCCTAACCGGAAGCCCCCTGTTTGATTCTAGAGCCAACCGGAAGTCTGGTTCCCCCCACCATAGAGTCTCCTCCTAGTGCTGCATCCTTTTTCCTCTACCTGTCCTAACAGAAAGCCCTATCAATTGTGGAGCCTACTGGAAAACCCGCCCCTTACCATAGAGTCTCCTTGTAGCGTGCTGTGTTTCCCTCCTCCCCCGCAACCGGAAGCTCCTCTCAAAATTGTGGCGGTGACTCCGGTGACAGGGAGCTGCAGCAGAGGAATGAAAGAGCCATATGCGGCTCCAGAGCTGCAGGTTGCTGACTCCTGTGATATAGGAAGACTAGATATAGATTTATGCTCCCCTGCGGGAGATTAATATGCTTATTAGATAAGCATGTTTTCTGAATCCAGCAGCAGACCCATCTCACAGTGTTCTGGGAATGTTCACTTCCTGTTGTCATCTAGAGCTTGGGTGGACAGTTTACAGCTTTCCAGGTGTTGTTGCATTGCAACTAGTGACATTGCCCCTCTTGGCCAATAATCGAGAGAAATAAACACCATTTCAGGATCCTGTACATTTTATTGCCCTGGAGACTTCAGATAACAACTTCCTTTATCCTAAGTTACTGTAGGAAGAGCCAAAGCCAGTATTGGATGGGCCTTTCTCCTACTCTTTCTAGAGTACACTTACTTCTTCCCTCCCTCCGTCTCCTTGTCCTTTTTAACCAGATCTGGACTTCTACTCATAGGTCCCCCAACCAATAGCTGGAAATGGCTGTTTCTCAGATTATCCCATTCTTTCCCTCCACAGATTTTCAGTGCTCAGAACATAGTCACTATGAGCTCTGCAGGAACCCCGTGGATAAAGAGTGTTCTGCCAGTTGGCTTCAGGGTGTCCAAGGCACTTTTTGCTCTGAAGGATGTTTCTGCGATGATGGGTACTATCAGAGTGTCGGCAAGTGTGTCCAGCTAGAACAGTGTGGTTGCAACTACAATGGACGCTATTATAAAGTAAGTAGGATTCCCCATCAAAGCCAACACTTTGTAATGTGGTGGAACATATACTTTGCCTGCAGAAAGCTTTTGGGGAAAATTAGGAGAGTGAAGGAGTTGAGGAGAAGATGCCATAAATCAGGTGCCATCTTCTCAGTAAACCCCGAAGAATGATCTGGCAAGTTGAACAGAGGAGATCCAATAAACGTTAGCAAAGAGCAACATGAATGGAAGGTAGCCATGACAATTTGTGATGTTGCTTTTCTTATCTCTTTTTTTTTTCTTTTAGCATTATGAGTTATATTCATTGTACAAAAAAATAAACATTAAAAAAACATTAATTTGAGCTAAAAGTCAAGATTATTTTTTATCCTAATAGTCAACACTTCTTAAGAATTGAATTCCATTCTAATACAGGTTTATTTCAGCTTGTCCAATAAGATTAACTGGTTCTGTAACAATAATTTTCTTGCCTTTGTTCTCACCATTTGCTAATTCGATCATGCGCACCACAGCTAAATGTGTCATTTATCAATTAGCAAGATACGTCTTTTTCTGAGTAAGGAGTAATAGCTCCCTGGGCTGTTATTAACAAAGAAATTATCTGTTAGATCTTACAAGATAGAATGCCATCACAATTCCTTTGGCTAAAATTATGACTTATAGCCTTGTCAAACTTCTAATTTTCTCAATAGTTTAATTGAGAATCGTTCTGATCTGAGCCTCGGTGGCGCAGTGGTTAGAGTGCAGTACTGCAAGCTACTTCTGCTGCCTGCTGGCTGCCTGCAATTTTGCAGATCAAATCTCACCAGGCTCAAGGTTGACTCAGCCTTCCATCCTTCTGAGGTGGGTAAAATGAGGACCCGGATTGTTGGGGGCAATAGGCTGACTCTGTAAACCATTTAGAGAGGGTTGTAAAACACTCTAAAGTGGTATATAAGTCTAAGTGCTATTGCTATTGCTGTCTTTAAACAACACAAAAAATACTGAAAAACACCCACTCTGTTCTCATTGAATCTTCCATATTGACCTCTACGTTCTCCATGCAGGTTGGAGAGCATATCTGGCTGCCCGGTTGTGCTAAAAAATGCCGTTGTGACCCCCATGGCAATTTCCGCTGTTTCCCAGCTAGATGTAAGGCGGATCAACAATGCACACTGAAGGGGGGACTGTATGGCTGCCACAGTCTCTTGACCACCTGCGTCGTCACAGGCGATCCTCATTATTTCACGTTTGATGGTGCACTGGTGCACTTCCAGGGTATCTGTAACTATGAGGTCTCTCACACTTGCAACTCCACACTGGATTTCTCCTTCCGAGTTGTCATTGAAAACCGACATTTCCAGAATCCCAGAGTTTCCTTTGCTTACCGGGTGGAAATCTGGTTTCAGATGCACCAATCTAGTTTCCATGTGTTCCTTGAGCGAGGCAAAGCTGTCCATGTGAGTATAGTGGTTATGTGACATAGACTCATTGACCTATGGACTCATGGAATCATAGGAATTTTGGAGGTCTTCTAATGATCCCTAGAATCATAGGGAAAGGGACCTTGGAGGTCTGCATAGAGTTTTAGTCACCACAATATAAAAAAGAGGTTGAGATTCTACAAAAAGTACAGAGAGGAGCAACCAAGATGATTAGAGGACTGGAGGCTAAAACATATGAAGAACAATTGCAGGAACTGGGCCTGGCTTGTCTAGTGAAGAGAAGGACCAGGGGAGACAGGATAGTAGTGTTCCAATATTTGAGGGGCTGCCACAGAGAGGAAGGAGTCAAGCTACTTCCCAAGGCACCCAAGGCACCTCATGCCATCCATCTGGTAAACTTGCAGGACTCTTTCTTTTTGCCATGTACATGTATACATCTGATCTAGACTGTGTTGTTTCTCTGTTTCATATAATATATGTGGGCATATGCATAATTTTGTATTTATTTTGTCATGTTGATGTAGTGTATATTGGAGGTGGTGACCCTTTGAGAGCTACATTCAACGAAATTTCATTTTAATGCATGCCGATTAGTGTTCATTCAAAGTGACAAAGTTAGTCTAAGTTAGTGCTGCAGAAACTTTTATAGTATTTCTTTTATGAAAGGTTAATGGCAGAAGAACCCAACTACCGGCCAATGTAGGATCCATTGCTCGGATCTTGAGAGTGAGGAATATGTTGACTGTGAGAACCAAAGCTAATGTGGAAATCCAGTTCAACGGGGCAAGTAGTGTGTTCCTACGGGTGGGTCCAGAGTATCAGAATCAGCTGTGTGGCATGTGTGGCAACTTCAACGGTGATGCTTCTGATGATAAACTTTTACCATCTGGAGACAAAGCTCTGAATGATGCACAGTTTGGAAATGCTTGGATATCAAACACCAGCTCTGCACGGTAGGATGAGCCTCTTCCTCTCCCCATCTGAAAAGCTAGAGCACCCTGGAATCGGGAGACCCAGAAATTCTGATGGTCCCAATGAGTTCCAGGCAGAGTTGGGCTGCTGCCGGTTTGCACCGGTTCAACTGAACCAGTAGTTTAGATTCTGCGCAGTTCAGTAAACCGGCAAGTCCCACCACTGGCTGGCCCCGCCCCTGCTCGTTTTTTGGCCTTTTTGGGGGGCATTTTCAGGATGTCTTGGGGTTATTTTCAGGCCATTTTTCGGGCTGAAGATGGCCCAAAACAGGCCCAAAATCCGCAGGGATGGGGCCAGCCAGTGGTGGAATTAGCTCCAACTGGCTGAATCCTACCTCTGCCTTTGAGGCAAATGTCAGAGAAGTGGGGCTGGGTGTGAATGCCTACCCAGCCAGAGAGCCAGTTGTTAAAAAATTTTCAGCCCACCACTGATTCCAAGATATCAGGACAATGGAATTTGAGAAAAACAGTGTTTCAGAAGGAGAGTCATTAAAACATTTTAATCAAATAGATCAGCTAATCCTCTTCTGGACAGCTTAGTCTCTTGGGTGATGAGTATTGATGCTGTCAACCATGAAGCTGACCTGACTGAAGCCATTTTGACCACTTCAGTGTTGCCGCACTGGAGCCAAGGGATAGGGAGGGAGGATTTGAGAGAGTTGGGATTCTGTAGCCAAAACAAAATATTTTCTCTTGGGAACCAAGGACATTCTCACACCTGGTCAGAGGAAGGCGAAGTGATGTCACCCGGCAACCAGAGAATGCCATGATTGGACCATGTGACTGATTGTTTTGAGAAAGTGCCAAACGTTTACTTTTAATTAGGTGAAAACCACGGGAGACTTCAGAGTCAGTTTTCACCAGATATGTGCCAATATGTTCATTCCAATAAAAGTATTCTTTGAGGAATCTTACCTGCCTTGGAGTTTTGCTTGCTATGGATTTATTACTTGGAACCCTGACCTGTGACTCTGTTCTTTGTCTATCTTTTTCAGCTGTAAAAACAACACCAAAGACCTTGTTCCTTGCCCAAATCAACACAAGTACAAACAAATGTGTGCAATCTTAATTAACGTCTCAGGGCCTTTCTCTGAATGTCACTGGCTCAACAACCCAGACTTGTATTATGAATCCTGTGTCTATGATTTATGCCAGTACGGATTGGGCAATCGCATGTTCTGTATGGCCATTGAAGCTTACGATGAAATGTGCACCATTACTGGGGTGAAGGTGATGGACTGGCGGCAGGCAACAGGATGCAGTAAGCAAAATAAGAAGGGTGGCTCCCATTAGGAAAATGTCTGTAGATGTATTTGAAAGTCAAGGTGTGACATCAGTATATAACATCTGCCCTTGGAAATGATAATCATCATGAATGAAGGCAAATAACCATATTTGATCATTCAATATGGTGTACGATATCGAATTATCATACAAATAATGATAAAGTTTGTACTACCCAATAGCTTATTTATTGTCAGGCACAAGCAACCTGAATTAGTCACAACCAGTAAATTTATATGCATAAAGTTTGAATATACTTTATTGTTGAACTAGTCTCAGCAAGAAACTTTATTGTTAGTCACCTGTGTTACAAGAATCTCACCAGACTGACTATATTCCCCTGGAATAAAGTCAGATAAGGCTTCAGGGATTCTGGGGGAAAGTCATTGTGACACTTTCTCCAGTGAAAAGATTCTAAACTCAACCTCCTCTTAACACCACCTTCCGGTCTAGCTGGAGATTCTACCATATGTACGTTAGAGAAATATTTTGGGCACATTGTTTTGCATTCCCAAACCTGTTTGATCTTTTTCTTTTCAGGCATCACCTGTCCAGTTAACCAGTATTATGACTTTTGTGGCCCAGCTTGTCCTGCCACGTGTGCCAACCCCCAGGCCCCTGCCCTTTGCAAAAAAGCTTGCATCTCAGGCTGCGTCTGCAGGGAAGGCTATGTTCTGAAAGCTGGGGTCTGCATACCTCTACAGCTCTGTGGCTGTGCCCTAAATGGCCGCTATTACCAGCTGGGAGAACAAGTGATCCTGGGGGACACTTGTAACCAAAGATGCATCTGCATGCAAGCTGCTCACCCAATGGAATGTCAAGGACATGCCTGCAAAGCTCAGGAAATGTGCAAAATTGTGGATGATGTACGAGGTTGTTACCCAATGAGATTTGGCCTGATGCATCTATATGGCCCTTCAAACTATATCACTTTTGATGGTGTTCCTTTCAGTTTTCAAGGGGCCTGCAAATACACCCTTGTTTCATACTGTGGTCCTCCAGGAAAGCTTCCAAGCTTCAACATTCAAGTATTAAATATGCATAAGGACTCTATCTTGGTATCCTGGATAAAGCAGTTGGAACTTGAAATCTATGGGGAGAAAATAATTATGGCAAAAGGGCAGTATGGTTTAATAAAGGTAAGAGTATTGTAAATTCTAACCAGTTTTCATTGGAACATCTGTAGGATCTAAAAACTGCTTTATAATGAGTCTACGTTAGCCTTTTGAGGTAGATCAGACTAGGAACCAAAGTTATGAAGTGTAATATTACGTTTTTTATAGGGTTATAGTAACATAATCTTGAAAGTCTGAATGAGTTTTTCCTTCTCCCTCCCTTTAAGAAAACCAGGGAGGGTCAAATCTAAGACATTTTCTCAAATTACATTTCTGCCTTGGACTCAAAGTTCCTTTATCTAACCATTGTCTTGGTTACAGATCTTCCTCCTGTTCCTCAAGGTTATTCTTGTAGCTCATTATACTCTGTACAAAAAGCTTAAGGAGATGTGCATTCAACAGCATACTAACCTTGGTTCAACCCTACAGTGGCTTAATTCATTGATCAAGATAAACATATACTGTGAATCCTGTTGACAAGTTAATAAAAAAGATTCTCTTTCAGTGAGGCTGGGAATCTACCTTCAACAGTGGCAATGTAGAAAGAAAGATTAAAATTAGAATTACATTTGCAGAAAGATCTCTGAGGTTAAAAGAATCTTTCTCCCATTCATCCCTACAACAGCCCTAAGAATCTGAGAAATAAATTGGGTCAAAAGAGTGTGACTGCCCCATAGTCACACAATGAGTTCCATGGGAGATTGGGAAATTGATTATAGGCATCCCTGATCCCAAGACATGATTTAACTTATATTTTTGTTCAGGGAGGAGAGTTTGACTTGAACCCAAGAGGATAGTTACTAGTGTTGATGCTATTTCCCAGACTAGAGTAGTTGAACATGAATGAGAATGTCATGTGTTGAATAACATCTACCTGTTGTTCAATATCCACCCAGATCTTTAAGAGAATAGCATTCAACATTAGGAAATTGGCTGGAAATTGAAAATCTTTTCAGCCTAAGGTTACATCTACTGGAGAAGAAGTGTCCATTTGTCTATCTAATTTTCTATCCAGAGATCCATCTATCTCAGTGATGGCTAATTTTTTTCGTCATCGCAGGCCAAAAGTGCATGTGTGTGCCTGCGTGTGTGCCTGCACCCTTAATACAATGCACATGCGACCCCTCCTCCCAGCCCCACTGTACATGTGCAGTGGATCAGTTCCAGGCGATGGATCACGTGCTGGCAGAAATGGCTCTGAGTGCTGCTTCCGGCATGTGTGCCATAGGTTCACCATCACAGTTCTATCTAGTCCAAGGGTCTTCAAACTTGGCAAGTTTAAGACTTGTGGACTTCAACTCCCAGAATTCCTGAGCTAACATGACTGGAGGAGGAATTCTGGGAGTTAAAGTCCACAAGTCTTAAAGCTGTCAAGTTTGAAGACTCCTGATCTAGTCACTGGAAGATGGAGAGTGTATAGATCAGGGGTGTCAAACTCAAGATCTGGGAGCCAGATCCAGCCCATGGGGTGCTTAGATGTGGGCTGCAGCACCACCCTGGAAACAGTGAAGGACTGGCCTGCGTTGTCTCTGCCAGCAAAAACAGAGCTCAGGAGGGATGCACGCAGCCAAATTCTGTTTTCACTGGCAGAGGGTTGCAGGAGGCCATCACAGCCGAAAACAGAGCTTGGGGGCCTGTTTTCATTGGCAGAGCACTTGGGCCACCACAGGTGCCCTCCACATAAGTGACATCGCATTGGCCACACCCACCCCAGCCATGCCTCCCCCGCCCCCCAGAGGTCAAACACAACCCCAATGCGGCCCTCAATGAAATCGAGTTTGACACCCTTGGTATATAGATTAATTAAATGAATCTATTTATGAATTTGTCAAGGACATTGTTCCCCTGGCTTTGTCTTAGGTGAATGGCCTTCTAATGAATCTGCCCATCACCCTTGCAACGGGAAAACTCTATGCTTATTCTACTACCACCTTCCTCACTATTGAGACTGATGTGGGCCTCTCTGTTTCCTATGATTGGTCTCACCACATGTCCGTTTCAGTTCCTGAAATTTACTCAGGGTCTCTCTGTGGCCTTGGTGGAGATTTCAACCAGAATCACCACAATGACTTCAGGTCTCCCAGCGGTTCAGTGATTCAGGATCCAGAGACTTTTGGCAACAGCTGGAAAGATTCTGGCTCCCCATTCCACTGTGCAGCTGTCGGGCCCTTACCAAATTGCAGTGAAACTGAATTGGCCCAATACAGATCTCTGGCTTATTGTGGACTCATTCATGACATGAATGGGGCATTTCAAGACTGCCAAGACCAAACGGAGGCTCAGCATTATGCAGAGCATTGTGTGAAGATCCTATGCACAACACAGGGCAGCCACAAGGTTCTGTGTGAAGTACTATCTACATATGTTCAGAGATGTCAAGCAAAGCACATCAAGATTCAGTCGTGGAGAAAGATCACTGGATGTGGTAAGTGATATTCAGTAGAAAGACTGGTTTTAAAAACAGAAGTGAACATTTTTTTCAGGTGTGCAGATAAAATATAGTGTCTGTTAGACATGGCATTCCACTGTCTGAGAATATTGCTTCTCCTTCTATAAAATAGTTTTTAAATGAATGAATGAAAGAAAGATTGAATGATTATATCTGTTTGTGTTTGAGTCAGATATTTACTCCTGTCAATCTGCACTAGTAACAATTAATGAACAAGCAAAACACTTGGAAGGAAATGTGTAACAATGTCACATAACAACTGTGTGTTTTAAATTAAAAATATTTTTCGTGAATGAAAGCAAATATATATGTCCCAGAATAATGTTGCAAGATCCAATCTGGGTGTCAACTTTGAAGCGAACCTAGATGAAGCCATCTTTTGCTGCCTCATAGTTGCCACAAACCCTGAGAGGGGGAAGGGAGGGGGGAAAGTAGATAGACTGGCTAACAGTCGAAACAAAAAGTTTTCCTGTGGGAACCAAGGTCATCTCAACAGGAGGCAGTTGAAGGAGGAGAGGAGTGACCAAGGAGCCGGCCAGCTACTTTCATTGGACAATGTGACTGGTGACATCTGGGAGGGGGAACTTTTACTCTTTGAATTAGGGAAAAACCGCAGGAACTTATGAGTTGGTTTTCACCAACTGTGCCGATATGATGTATTCAATAAACATGTTCTTTGAGGAATCTACCTGCCTCGTTCTGCTTTTGGTGGATGCATTACTCAGCATGCTGACATTGGGACTGTCGCCAGGATCAGTGGTTTAGTCTTCCAAACTTTTGGGCTTGTGCTCAAGCCTGAAAATACACTAATCATCAAATAGGAAGGCACCATATACATATGATGTATAGAATAGCCCAAAGCACATATTCCAGTAGAGTGAAGTTCCAGCACAAGTTCAAAAGCTCAGAAGACCACAGTTCTGGTCCCAGTGATTGGCCCATACTGGATCTTGCAAAAGTAATTTTCTTTACTGTTCCTACTCCTTTGTCCCAACTATATTAATTCCAAAAATCTGTCTTTGGTATTAAAACAAATCATTCAATCTTTTGCGTTTAGAGTTGACTTGCCCAGATAACAGCCGTTACATATTTTGTGGCTCTTCCTGCCCTGCCTCTTGCGCCCAACCGGCTGGACCTCCAAGTTGCTTCCAGAGTAGGTGTGTAGAAGGATGCCAATGTGAAGCAGGGTTTGTGCTGAGTGGCACGGACTGTGTGCCGTGGGAGCAGTGTGGCTGCAGCTACAACGGACGGTATTACTTGAAAGGGGAAACATTCTTCTTGGAAGGAGAAAACTGCAAAAGAAAGTATTACTGTGATGGCTCCATCTCTGCCCTTGAAACGGAGGGTTCCTTTTGTGGTCCTGGCCAATTCTGTGGCACTCAGAAGGGAGTATTTGGCTGCCATGCGTTGCCAGATGGCACCTGTCAAATTTCTGGATTTCTTCACTACACCACCTTTGACGGGCAACCGTACAGCTTCCAAGGCACCTCTATGTACGTCTTGGTGGAACTGTGCCCAATGTCCAAGCTTTTACCTTCTTTCAGAGTTGAGGTGAAGAATGAGAAGATGCCTAACAGACTTTTTCCTGAGATATCGATGGTACTGGTTCTAGTGAACAACACCCAGATATATCTGCAGAGAGGGCACCACGGGAGGGCCTTGGTAAGGACAATTTTACTTATCTGCGATCTGAAAGTGTGGGGTGATTTCAAGCAGGTTTTCTATTTGTTGTTATATTCCAACTGAACAAATGTTTACAAAAGATGAATGCTAAAGCCATCCTCTTGTAGCCTCTGAGATAGCAACCCAGCAGAGGTGGTATTCAGCAGGTTCTGACCAGTTCTGGAGAATCGGTAGCAGAAATTTTGAGTATGTCCTCTGACTGGAGATTTTACAGTGTCTTTCCCCAGCCACGCCACCAAGCCACGCCCGCAGAACCAGTAGTAAAAAAATTTGAATCTTACCACTGGTCGTATTTCCTGCAAGTTAATAATATTTAGAGAGTGTTCACCATGAAGCAGATGAAGGCATCATAATTGGTAAATGGCAAGTGAGAAAAAGATGACTTCTAATAGCAATGACACTTAGACTTCTATACCGCTTCATAGTTCTTTACGGCCCTCTCTAAGTGGTTTACAGAGTCAGCGTATTGCCCCCAATGATCTGGGTCCTCATTTTATCAACCGCAGAAGGATGGAAGGCTGAGTCAACCCTGAGCCGGTGAGGAACTAACTCCTAACAGTGGACAGAGTTATCTTGCATTCTAATCACTGTGCCACCTGTTTTTTTCCCCTTTGCATAGATCAATGGTATAGCTCAGCAACTTCCTGCCCATTTGAAAAGCCAGAGGATTGCCGTTTATCAACATGGATTTTATGTTGTTGTAACAACTGACTTTGGTTTAACCGTGAGTTATGACCTGGCACACAGCCTCGTCGTAACCCTTTCTTCTGGATACCAAGGGCAAGTATGTGGAATGTGTGGGAATTTCAAGAGGGCCAATGACGCCGATTCTAGCATGCAAATCAGATCCATATCAAAACACCCCTTGGACCTTGCTAGCTTCTGGAGTTCGTCAGCGATCACAGGTAGCTTTGGGCCTCCTCTATTTGTTAAGGAACATCTCATCCGATCTAAATCCATGTGCTGGATCATCCAGAATGCTGATGGGCCATTTTCTTCTTGCCATTCTCTGGTCAGTCCCAAACCCTATTTAACAAATTGCATTTTGGACGTTTATGCATCTGCCTGGGATCCGGAGATCTTGTGCCTTTCCATTCAGACTTACGTAGCAGCCTGCCAGAGAGCCAATGTCACCCTCAAGCCTTGGAGAATTGGATCTTTTTGTGGTGAGTCAATTAGCAAAGTCCAATATTTTTTTATGAACACTTCTAGGTCATAATCTAATATTTAATATTGAGCCACGGTGGTGCAGTGGTTAGAGTGCAGTACTGCAGGCTACTTCTACTGACTGCCGGCTACCTGCAATTTGGCATTCCCATAACATGCTAGGTTTGGTTACTGCAAATGTTGGCTAGTCTGTTAGTGTGTTATGTGAAACCAGTCTGTTTGGTTGGCTTATGGTTCAAGATAACATGCGAACCCAGAAAATGGATTAATTAAAGTAAAATATATTAAAAACAATACAGTTAATTAGCAATTTACCCAGGAGCTTTGGAAATCGAATCCATAGCTTTGGTGTGGGGTGCTGCCATTTTTAAAAGTTTCAGTTTGAAGCTTTCTTTTATGATATCCCAGGGATGAAAATGGCTGGTTGATTGGATGAAGGGAATGTTGAGGAAAAACCTTCTTCCTCAACAAACTTGGAAATATAACATTTCACTTGGTCATTTTTATATATTTAACCTGAGTTATTTGGAATGTTTTCTAGAAAAGAGCATTATGAGACTTATGGGCAGTGGTGGGAATATGTTTTTTTTGTGTGTGTGTGAAGGAAAAGCTAAATAAAGGCCACATTATTGTTGTTTAAAATAAAACCCACAAAAATGCATCAAATAGCATCATGCCTGGTATTGCAAGACTTCAAAATAGGATAGGATCACCAGCAAAATTACCGTTTCCTCCCCACCCCGTCTCTCTTTAAAGATCCAGATTGCCCAGACAACAGTCATTATGAACTCTGCCAGCCACCCTGCGAGGGTTTTTGTGCTAGTGCCACATTTGCACATCTCTGCAACCCCCTGTGCTCTGAAGGATGTGTCTGTGATGCAGGATACTTATGGAGCGGGAACAAGTGCATTCAGCACGAACGCTGTGGCTGTGAATACAATGGCCATTATTACGATGTAAGTCAAGCCAAAGGTCAGTGCGGTGAAAGAAGACATCTCCATGGTCATGTGGCCAGCATGACTGTACGCCGAAGGCACATGGAATGCTTTTCTCTTCCCACCAAAGGGGTCCCTATTTTTCTACTTGTATTTTTACATGCTTTCGAACTGCTAGGTTGGCAGAAGCTGGGACAAGTAATGGCAGCTCACTCCGTTACGCAGCGCTAGGGATTCGAACCACTGAACTGCTGATCTTTCTGATTGACAAGCTCAGCGTCTTAGCCACTGAGCCACCGCATTCCTATTGTAACTTTTTAACCGTATCTTTGAATGGTCAATAAACGAATGGTTGTAAGTGGAGAACTACCTGTAGTTCGCTTCAACAGTTGGAGCTCACTCATGACTTTGGACCAGTCGTTCTCTCTCAACCCAAAGCCAATGTGGTGTAGTGCGGAAGGCGCTGGAGTAAAAGTGGGGAAACCCAAGTTCTTATCCCTCATCAGCCTTAGAAGTTTAGTGAGTGATTTAAACCAGTGCTCTCTCTTTCAGCCCAGCCTGCCTCACAGGATGGCTGTTATAGCAATAGCACTTAGACTTATATACAACTTTACAGCCCTCTCTAAGCGGTATACAGAGTCAGCATGTTGCCCCAAACAATCTGGATCCTCATGTTACCCACCTCAGAAGGATGGAAGGCTGAGTCAACCTTGAGCCTGGTGAGATTCAAACTGCCAAATTGCAGGCAGCTGGCAGTCAGCAGAAATAGCCTGCAGTACCACTCTAACCACTGCGCCACCAGAGCTCATAGAGATAAAATGAAGGGAGAGTTATAGAGATAAAATTATAGAGGTATAGAGATAAAATGAAGGGAGATCTTGAACACACTCACACACACACACACACACACACACACACACACACACACACACTAAAATCACTTAAGAGCAGATCTGAAGTACTTAAATCTCCTGAAATGTCATGAAATGGTTCCCAATAAAGAGTTCTCTTCTCATAGATCTTTTTCACAATTGGAAATATGAGCAGCTACCAACAGTGATGAAAAGAGGTACCATATAGACTAAAATAAGATGTAGCAGGGGCAGCATTCTAAGGTCAAACATATCAAGAAGAATAGTAGAAATAAGTCTAGTAAGGTAGATAAACAAAGCCTATTTTGCAGAGGTAGGAAATTGATCTGAATAAGATGGACAGATTGGGGCATAGTGTTCAAATCTTGTCTTGATTAATTAATTACTGGTTTACTTTTCAGGTTGGAGACCACCTCTGGCTTTCTGACTGCACAAAAAGGTGCAGCTGTGAGAATTCGTCGACCTTTCACTGCGTCCCAGCCAGTTGCAATCCTGGCCAGCAATGCGCAATTCAGGATGGAAAGCTGGGCTGTAAAAATCAGCTGACCACTTGCACCATTTCTGGAGACCCTCACTACTTCACATTTGATGGGGCTATAGCCCATTTCCAAGGCAGTTGCGCTTATGAGATCTCAAAGACACCCAACTCCTCCTTGGATTTCTCCTTCCGGGTTGTGGCTACTAATAAGAATTTCCGGAATCCCCGAGTATCTTTTATTTTCCGAGTGGATATTTGGCTTAGCTTCAAACAGTTCAGTTCTCACATTGTTTTGGAAAAAGGAAAAGATGTGAAGGTGAGGGCAATTTCTTGATCCAAGCACCCCCCCCAAAAAAAAAGGAGGAGGGGAAAAAAGTGTACAATAAACCAACCTAATCAATGGCCATTTGAAAAATATGGGATGATGATGTTGAGAATCATCACTGAGAAAGCAAAAGTTTTAAGAGATAATGTTTAGTTTGGAAATGTAAGATAAGATCTGGCAGGTTGTACATACATATGAGCAAAGATATGTTATTTCTTGAGATGATAGAATACTAGATTTTAACTGAACCTTACCCAGATATTTTTAGTGATAAAAGAAGGTTGACAATGAAATTATCTCTTTATTGAAAGTCTTCTTCTTGAAGAAGCTGAATATTCTAACCCAGGCTTCGTCAAACTTAAAAGTAAAACCTATTTTAATGTAACGCTGGGAATGACTTGAATGCCCAGCCAAAACTCATTAGACACAGTTCCTCCAGATAAGAGCACGCTTTTCAGTGCTGTAGAATGCTGCCAAGAAACAGAAGTCCAATTAAGGCTAACATAAGACAATCCAAAAACCCAGAAAAAAACGACCAGAGTACAGGGCTTCAAGAAGGACTCAGAAATTACTGAACTACTTTGCTTCCTGCAAAGCTTTTCCTCATTGAGGACTGACTTTTATCCCTTATGGGAGGGGCAACCACCTCCCAGCCTTACTCCAGAGTCTCCCCTTCTGCTTCAGCTGCTCTTGCCTTCTAGCAGCTCTGTGCACATGCGCACTGGGAACAGGCTCCCCTGGGTCCTCTGCCTCGCTGCTGCCAGACTCTGAAGGCTCCAAAGATAGCAACCCCCTCCCAGATGGTCCTGGCCACATCCCTGCATCAGAAGCAGGATCCTCATCCAAGTCCTCTCCAGACTCCCTGACTGGTCCCCTTTCATCCTCACCTCTGCTGTCTGCACCGGCGAGTCACAACACTGAAATCCCATTTGTTGGGATGTGGTACTTTTCTACATCAAACTGAGTGGGGAACAGCACATATAGGTCCCTCCAATTCTTAGCTGCTATGATTCTGCATCTGTCAAGAATTTCAATGCTTGTGGGGGGGAGTGGAGAAACCAAATAAGTTAGTTAACCAACTAGTGCTTTTGTCCACTGTGATGGAAGAACATCACTCTGATGTTAGAATAGATAGTTTTCCCAAGAACCAGATGTTCTTAACTAGGGATTGAATCTGAGCTTTTCAGAGCATGTTCTCATAATATTGAGATACAGGAAACATGAGATTCAGTTCTATATATTCCATTTTTAACTCTAATTTGACCTCTAATTATTATGCCTAATTAATCTATTATTATCCTTATATATCTCATCTTTTCTTCAAGAGAGCTCAAAGCAACTTCAGGGGGTTTCTTTCCCAGGTCATCAGAAGAATTCAATGTGTCTCTCAGGGGTGGGCTTCAATTTTTTTAGCAAGGGGCTCTCTGCCCTAATGAATGGCTGGGTGGTCATGTAACTGGGTGGGCGTGGCCAACTCAACATTGCTTCTTTGCCCTAATTACCTAAAAAAAGATAACATACCAAAAAGTTGTTTATTATTTCGTCCATTTAATACTTAAATAAAAGACTGGGTGAAACCAGGCTTAATAGCAGTGACTGTGAGAGGGATCTTGGAGTCTTAGTGGAGTTTCTGGTGAGTTACATGATTCTTATTATTTGGGAATTAGCCCTCGACAAGCGCTTTATCTAGCTTGACACTTTTACGAGGTGTGAAATGCTCTTGGCTGAACGCCTAGAAAGGAAAAAAGGCAAAAAGGTATCCATTTATTATTCTAGGCTGCTTGTCTTTTTGAGGTTATTGGGGGGGGGGCTCTCCGAGCCCCGCAGAGTCTTAGCTAGGGGCTCCCCTGAGCCTGAGAGACCCCCTCAGCAGCCCACTCCTGGTCCCACTACTCCAGACTATCCCCTGGGTCTATTCTCACCCAGTGTCTTCAAATTCAAATGAATTGGCTTGCAAATGATCATAGCTATTACAGTATAGAATAGGAACTTGTTTTTCCCAAGAACATCCTGATCTGAGGGATTAGGAAATATAAACAAGGACAATTAAAACAATGGAGTCTCAGCATCATGAAGATCACGTGGGCTTCATGTTGTGCTGAAGCCATCAGCCACTTCTTCTCCTCCTCACACAATTGATTACTTATGCCTAATTTGGATTTCCACTATATTTTTAGGTGAATGGGATACCAATTGCTTTGCCAGCAAAACTAGAGCACTTAGCTAACATCACAAAAAGAAGCCAGATGGTAACCATAAGAACCCATCCCAGTTTGGAGGTCCAATACAATGGCCGCCATGCTTTGTTTGTTCGTGTGGGTCCTGAATATTGGGGGAAGCTGACTGGGATGTGTGGGAATTTCAATGGCTATCGTGACGATGACAAAGTCTTGCCTGATGGGAAAAAAGCTAAAAACGATGCTGAATTTGGAAATGCTTGGATGTCCGACATCAGTCCCCCAAAGTAAGTTGATTTATAATTGATTTCTTTATTCTTTATGTTTATTTTTTAAAAATAATTGTATGTTTTATTTGGCAAAAATAATATGAGGCATACAAATTTAGTTCCTGCATCTCTTTGGAAGAGCGTTATAGCTTCTACTGCCTTAAGAAAGTTCAAAACATTCTTAAAGATCCATCTCATCCTGGGCACCCCTTTTTTTGAACTATTACCATCTGGCAGATGGTACAGGATAATAAAAACAAGGACAAATACACTGAAAAACAGCTTCTATCCCAGAGCAGTAACAATATTGAATTCTTCTGTATAGTACAATACGAAGGCAACACCAGGCATCTTCAATTCAATTGTATAGAATGGGAAGGATGTGTGTTTGTGTTTTATTTTTTATAGTTATAATGTACACTGAAGATGGCATTTAATTTTGTGGTATGAGATTAATGACAATGACGCTAAACTAAACTAAACTACAAGTTGCCAAGTTTGAAAAAAAAAAACCTCATTTAAGAAAAATGCATTAAAAAAAGATATTATCTATGAAAGAGAAGATGCCCTACGATTAACACACAATAATATAATGTCTGCATATAACGCAAAGGGATTTTTCTTGCCTTTCAGGTGCACTAATGACACAGGTGCTTTTGCACCCTGCACAAATCACCTAGAATGGGAGCCGAAGTGTGGAATCCTCACAGATCAGTCTGGGCCTTTCTCAGAGTGCCACTGGCACGAGGAACCTGCTCCATATTACAATTCCTGCATTTTTGATCTTTGCCAGTATGGACAAGGACATGACATGCTGTGCGCGGCTATAGAAACCTATGAGGAGATGTGCCAGACTCTCGGGGTGCAGGTGCCTAGCTGGAAGGAAGAGCTTGGATGTGGTGAGCAAGGAGGCCTTTTCCTTTTGATCTCTCATCAAAATGTCCTGGTGTGAAAAATATGTTGTTGCTTTTTTTTTTTTTTTAGTTTTGAAGTATGAAAAGTTTCAGAGATGCAATGCCGGGCTATTTGGTGTTTCCTTTGGAGGTTACTAGGAATCATAGGTAATCTTCAACTTAAAACCATTCATTTAATGACTGTTTTAAGTTACAAAAGCACGGAAAAAAGTGACTTAGGAGCATTTTTTTTCACACTTATGACCGCATCCCATCCCATTCATCTGGCTGGCGTCCTGTCGGTGTGTGAGAGAGTTGAGGGCTGTTTGCAAACTGAAATAGCATTTGCTGTGTGAGCAAGAAGGAGACAGCAAGGAGCCTGGGTGTGGCTTAGCTCAACAGTTCTGTACTAAAGCTGGTTGCTGTTGTGAAAGTAAAACTGAAACTCCTCTGCTTGTGTTTTGCATTTGGAACAGATTTCTTTTCAGGTGGGGAGGGAGAGTAGAACTCTTTAGCATCCGAGCGTGTTAATAATAATATATATGAAATACTAATGCTCTGATGGTCATTTAGAAAAATCCTTTCTTAGTGAGCACCTAGAAGACAAGAGGAACATATGTGCCACATTTCAAGTTTGTAGCCTTTACGGTTCTGGAGATTTTGTGATGATGTGTGAGTGGTATCTATCTATCTATCTATCTATCTATCTATCTATCTATCTATCTAT